TTTACACTGAATATAGGGGGTGTGGATGGAACAGTGGGTGATGCAGTGCAAGCCACCCATAGTCCCTCTGTAGACACAGGCGTCCTGTGGCTGGCCACAGTGATAGGCAAATTGGAACCCGGATGACGCCATCCATGCATTGCAGCTGTCTAGAACGGATGGGCCACATCTAACTTACCTTTATTGGGCCTACCCAACTAGGTTGTATTTCGCGGGGTTATTTCAAGCGTTGTCCACCACACTGTTCTACTCATCATGATCTACGACACCCTTGCTACCTAATGAAGTAGAGTCTAGTACGTTGACATACCGAGACGGCGAGCTACGGCATCATTTTCTTCGTATTATTAATCGGCCGTGATTCACATCACCATGTAAGCTCCATGATATTGCTCACCAGACTATGCTACTTACATCCTGCTCCTTGAAATCGATTTGTAGATTACATGACCCTAGCGTGACCAGCTGCCTAATGCGAACAAGCACGACACCTAGTGAGCCGATGCATCGCAAAATAATGGTTCAGTCCATCCATGAGCTCATTCGTAATTGATGTGCGCGCGGAGTTTCCGAGCGAACTGTGTTGTTCATATGGATCGGTGTTAGGGTAGCAAATTGTTGAGTATGTTTGCAGTTCGGTAGATATGTGTGAACCCAAAGATTACCAGTGCTTGGCCGCTTACAGTATGCATAAAGTGTAAAGTTTGAGATCTGGAACACAATGCTCAACAATTGTCCCTCGTGTGCCCAGGTTGGACTATGCATCTGAAGAGAAATTACCCGGGAAAATCCATGCCAAGTGAACAATCACGGCAATTAACCGACTAGCGATTAGTACGATGTCGACAGTTCATGTGCCGCTACACAGGTTAGTGATAAGAATGAGCATAGCTTTATTTCCTGTTGTTCATCAAGCATACTGAATTTGCCGGGGGTTATGAAAACGCAAGTACCAAGCAGATTGAAGACGGAAGCGCAGAGATGGTTACCAGAAGTTGAATTGGACATGGCCAATCTTCTGGATAGACGAAGAAAAAGGTTAAACCCAACGGGAATGGTAAGTCAGTTTAATAGTATATTACATCGGGCAGGAATTGGAGCATATTGACAATCGTTTTAGGAGCACCGAATGGCTGCACCCAAGACATACGATACAGATAATCACCAAATAGCTTATGGCCACAAGAGAGTACACAGCGGTATGTACAAACGGTTGAGTACTTGGATGACAGCCATGCTACAGTTTGGACATTTGCAAAACAGTGCGAACACTGTTTGGAAAGCCGCATGTTTGACAGTAGGCAGCGAGACTTAGTTGATGTAGTATGGCGGTAGTTGTCACTCCGACGAGGTCGTAAGCCGCGAATATGTGGTATTGACACCTGTCAATGCTTAAGGTTGAGCCAAAATCGTACCTAAAGCAGCAGATGATCGGACTGGTCAGCGATACGGAGAGCATGAAGTGAACACCCATCGCATGCGCACGCTGTGCGATCTCCCTCGTCAGCTACGCAAACCAGACTGCGGAGGCAACACCTAAGTACACATTACTGCAACACTTGTTTATTAATCATTTTACCTGGTAATCGTACTGATAGCAATTGCGTCACTATTCCTATATCGGTTTCGTTCAAATATGCATACATAAGATTTAAGGCTATCATTTATGTTCTCGACGAAATGTTAAACACCAACAGTTCGTATTGGTTACCCATTCTCATGCCTGCGAAAGCGGTTGTTAGTCTGATCTTTAAACGATACCCATACACGTTGGTAGTACTATGGTTCATGAGGTTTAATGTGTCTCCATCCTGTTTGTAGCAGTTCATACTTAAGTATAGACAAACGCATGTGCATAGGTTGTATTCGAATTGCCATTGGACACGGATGACGCCAATCCATGTATTTATGTATACCGAATGAATTCGACGAGGATCCTTATACCGCCTTTGCTACAGCCAAATTAGTGCAGGGAAGCGGCACGGACGAAAACGAAAAATAACTACCAGGACATGAAGGTGAGTTTATGACAAACAAATGTTGATTTCAGGTGTTGCGAATCCAAAGCAAAGTTGATCGGTGCGAGTTCCGTGGACTGATCAAAAGAGCAGTTGCCCAGGTGCAGGAGAAGGCACTATTGCACGCGGAATAAAAGCACGATGCATATGCTCCCATTCGATTTGTTAATCCAGGCCAATAAGGCGGCGTATGCAGTACGCTTGCCTGCGTGATGAGTATTCTTGCAATTCAGAAGTGACGTTGTTTGAGCTCCCCGGTGTGGATGCGCTTGATATGAATGTTGACAAGGTACCTACCTATCTATTACCAAATACCTCGTTCATGCTAGCTCTAGGAAACAGTTGGTCGTTGCAGGAGGGACGGGAACACCGTAATCGTGACGATCCTAGTCTCAAGATGTGGTTCCATGCAACCAGAGTGGAACGGTCTACGGCCCAGCCACCGCCTTGTGTACGTCTGGTGTGCATGATTTCCCAATAAGGCCGGAATGTTTCTGTTCTGTTTGTCGAAGGAGTGTGGGCCGGTTCGGTCGATGAAACCTGGCCCTCATCCACATGCCTCCGGATCTTATTCCTTCGGGTTCACACTGGATATCGGGCGTGCGGTTGGAGCTGTGGGTAGTGCAGCGCAAGTCACCCATTGTCCATCTGTATGCGCAGGCGCCCTGTGACTGCACCCGTGGAAGGCACAGTGACAGGCAAATCCGGCTACGGACGCCGCCAATCCACGCGGCCAAGTCAGTGAAATCGGCCTCGTGAAACGGAAGATCCTGCGCTGCAGAAGTTTAGCGTCAAATCTAACAGAATCTCAGCGATACTAACCGTTTCAAGTACTCGAGGTCCGGTGATAAAGAAGGAACTTGCTATCGTTGTCCACAACATGAAGTGGACACATTTAGGATCCGCGCAGCACAACTGTTCAGCTATGGTAACAGCAAGCATTACGTTCCTAACTGGAAACCTGATATATAATCAACGTCTTATGAGATGGTATTGTTACAAATTCGCTCAGTGGCACCAGACGTAGGACAACAGTCCAGACGTGTGGACCACGTGGATGTTCGGTGATCCTGAGGAGCGACAGCAACAGAGTCTAGTTCCGCGTCGCGCTCTATTCGCTCGTCAAGGACCTGGCTGGAGGCGACCGCGTGGTGGTCAGCCTTCCACTTGGCAGCAGCACATGAAATCGCTGACGTCGTGTCTAGCCGCTGTAGGATCCGTAGATCTTCCAGGATGGGGACCCGAAGATGAGGAGTGCCAATGGCTTAGCACTCTTGAAGATATGGCCCGCAACCGGAATCAGTGGAAGAATTGTGTACAGTATTGTATTGATTCACATGTTTAATTCTACAAACATTAAAATGACAAAAAAGAACAAAAGCGGCGTGTGAAAAACAAACTAAAAATGTTTTGTTCTACTTTTTATCAAAATGTTCCATTCTTCCTGCGGCATATTAGTTGAAGTGTGTTGCTCATCTTCAACTAGCATGTCACGATGATTATGACGCCATGAATCTTGCTTATCTCCTTATCTCCATGGTTTTAGGCTGGCTCTGTGTCTAACTAATAGACTGTTGAGAATACATACATCCATATCACAGTATTGATTGGAGCTGCGGCGATGCTTAGCACATACCAAAGTGCGCAGCTCTTCGCCACAGTCTATTAATAAGGACCTGGGGATGAACATGATAAAAACGAAAAAGTTATCATGATTGTATCAAATAGGTTTTTCGAATACGCGTTAGAACATCACCGGTAAACTGAGGACAAAGCAATGCGTCATACTGAGCACAAGTTTGACATGGAGAAAAGGATTCCTCTGACTTGTTCCACCTGTGATGTACTCAGGGGAGAGCACTGCGTACATACATTTTAGAAACTAGTATAACCAGATGGATAGGGGATGGTGTCGCCCGTCCGAAACCCCAGCACTTCACGACTGGTTTCGAAATTATTTGAGCACATCAGGTAGAGATGGCAAGTACTCAAACCACAGGTCATTGGGATGTTAGCCGAAACTTCTACCCCTGAGCCAATAAGCAACCCGATATCCATCTGCTGCAGTTTACGGTCACAGTGCAATGCGAATCACGACCAACATTGAGGATATGCGTCGCAATCCATTCACGCAACAAGTGTTTCAGAACGATCCCACAAATTAGTATATCGCACCTGATACGGATAGAATGCATCAAAAGTGAAAGCGATCAAATAGCCAAGAGTATCTTTCAACTCAAAGTATATGAACGTCGCACATCGCGTAAACGTGCACGTGAGAAATCTCATGACCCAAAAGTCGTATAAGGAGGGGTTCCGACTCGGTGTTCCGAACTGCAGCTGTACGTTAATTTGCCATCTTGCTGCATGACCTACGAACACGTATGATCGGTCCATGCACAGTGGTGGCAAGCAAAGAACCAACAGCTAGAAAGTACATTCCAAAGACAGGGTGAATGACGCAGAAATAGTAAACAGTTTAGCGAAAAATGGAAAGACTGTAGCCACTAAACGACTAGACATTTCTACGCGCATTAATTCGGCATATGCGGGAAAGATGAGTTATGATTCTCAGACATACATAATTTCAGACGAACACCTGGCTACAGTCAGGTGCAAAATTGTGCTGAGGTTTCAATAATACTGTAATCTGAAACAATACGTTTTGGAAGGCACCGTTACCTCTTGGGTAAGCATACATTAAAAGTTGTTGCATGAAGCTTGGAACGCGAGCCATTCTGACAAGGTCGAATGGTTGTTCGTTAAAACAACAACGGACGTGATGATCCGAACTTGTGAACTGAAGGACAGCTAACGGAGCGTCCCGCTACCCAAAAACCTGTTCTGGAGTAGCTGTATTGTACCTGAACTGACATGTTACCGCCGGGAATCGGAATGCAAGAAAATACGTTAAGATAATTGTGAGCAAGCGTGATTCCGGTTGTGTTCTGCCAAATGGAGGAATGGTTGACGAAAATTTACCTTATCGTACTGACAAACGACAACGTTATCCGACTCAAACAGAACTTCAGGTTCCTCGTCACTGACGTCGTCACCAGAGTTCAGAGGTTCTTCATCCTCTTCCTCCTCTTTGTCTTCTTCATCGCCGTGAAGTAACTCGCTGTCTCCACCGCTGCGCTCCTGAGATTCTGGTGGCACGTCCCCTAGTTGTGAGCCTGGTGAAGAAAGTTGACGCGAACTGGACGGCATGACATTTGCGTTTCGAGTGGACAGGTGTCGAGAATGACGAGGAGAACGTTGGTTTCTTGATCCTGGTTCTTCATCCTCGTCTTCCAAATCCGCGCTAATATGAGTGAATAAGATAGTGAAATTGAATGCCAAAATCCATTGATGATAGCAGATATGAGAGATATATGATTCACTGGCTTACCCATGCCCAGCAGGGGTCATTGTTGCGTTGGTTATAAGTTCAACATCATCCTCAATGTCTGACTCGTCATCATCGTCATCATAATCGTCCACGTCAGTATCCGTATCTCCCACATTAGAAGGTGAACGTCGCCGACGTTTCCGTCCAGGAGTTGGGGGGACTGAATCCCGAACGGGGACAGAAGGGCGTTTCCAACTGGGCGTACTTGCTCCGAAAGGAGTTACGGATGCAGGTGTCATCGGAGTTGGTGGGCCGCTCAAAAGTGGAGTTTCACTAGGTAAAGCGTCAATCTGAGACCCGTTCCTAGAGGTAAGTTCACGTGATTGAAGCGGATAGTGAGGATGCACAGAGGACGGAGCGAAGCCGGGGGTAGCCGCAACGAAGTCATCATCGTCATCATCATCGTCTTCATCGGACGCTGCCATAGATCGATTAGTGCCACTACTTTGAGGTGGCTGATTGCTAGGCGGACCAGAAGCAGATTGTTGTGAACCAGGAGTATCAAAGAATTTTGTGTCTTCATTGTCGTGAGCACCATCTACTTGAGTCTGCAGTATGGAAAGAAATCGAAGTAGGAGAACTCGAGGTAAAAATATTATAGAAAACACCGTACAAAAATGGGGCACATGACTTAGTAACCATATAATCCTCAAGAGTAGACAGCAAGAAACATGGAAACCACTTCAGTGACTTAGATCCAACAACGTTAGGCCACAGCAGTACTTGCAAATAAAGTAAGCGATTGCTACGCAGGTGTAATGTTCCTTATATGTAACTTAGCAGCGCCAAGAACGCAAGTACTAGTGGCTGACCAACCCGATGAAGGCAAAGCGCATCAAAAGTCCCAAAACAATGAACATGCAAGGGTCTGAGCTGAAAGCCGCACATGTTTAAACACAAAACTATTGTGTCCGTACCGTGCTTTTCGAAAATCCGCATAGAACTTAGTGTTCTGAACACAGATGTTAAAATAGAGAAGTGGGAAAACGAACAACAATCGGAGACAGTGAGTAAAATGGATCGCGTCTTATGGTCTATTCCAATTAGAACGTGCTAATGAGTATTCTCTGGTCGCGGATTCCTGCCTGAATCGTAGCCGTCAGTCGTTATGCTTCGTACTCTGTTGTCGGCAAGCAGCACTACAAGTAGAATACTCACTAATTTGATTCAATCTGTGGCTCAAGGGGGTAACTAAGCATGATTAGGTGAAAAAGACCACACAAAATCAATGTCATTGAGGTCGCCTCTTCGCCATGTTAACAACTGTGTTCAACCAAGCGGATTTATCATCTTGCGGAATCCAAATCAGGAGCCGAGAAACACTAACCAATGTTATGCTCTGAACACATTCAATTCTCTTTGGGATGTTCGTTAAGATATGCTTACGGCTATATGTATATATACTTTAAAAAGCCCTAAAGATGAGTACAATTGGTGATAGCTAACCTGCTTTAAAGCCACACCAACACATTGTTAGAACAGACATGGAAGTGCGGATGAAATCTTTCGAGGGAGAAGCCCGCATGGAAGCAGGTCCCCTGGAGAAGACTCCACGGTTGGCCGTATTACTTTATTAGAACATTTAGATCTATCTGCATTTATTACTATTATCAACCTCTTCATCTATCTGAAAGATACAACCGACCAATCAGCCACGCGAAATAGTTTTGGAACTGCTCAGAAAATATCGAAGAAATATTATCGGTTCCATGTGACCCTATTTTACATAATGACCAGGCCAATTAGTTGGACTTTGCGTCGCACCGTCGACATCAAAAGACCATATGCCAGAGCTGCGCGAGTGTGCAAATCGGTCAAAGGGCGTTCAGGTGTGGCTTCCTAAGGAGGAAATCCCATCAAAACTGGGAGAGTCGGATGTGAGCGGGCCTAAATTTGCATTCCATATGGCTGAATGCCGTTCTTAATATGCGCGACTAGTGTCATACACCACGGAGCTTTAGATTGAAGAACAGAAAGTACAGATGGTGATCGATACAGGAGCATCTGTGACCATAATTAGTGAAAACGACGTAAAAACTTTGTTGCTGTTCTTCGTACGTACGCCGGTGAACCCATACGTGTTCTTGGTAAATGCTTCGTAAAGGCGAAACACAACGACAGGATACAGAAGCTTCTTGCATATGTGACCTCTGGGATCGGCCAAATCTGCTAGGAAGAGGCTGGATACATGCATTCCCGGATACATTGGACGTGGTAAAAAGTCACTGAGGTCTTAGGACTTGGAGCCTTGCTAAAACAACATGCTGCTGTTTATGGCGAGGAGCTTGGGAAATTGAAAGTATGTCGGGCTAGGATAAAATTCATCGATCAAAATCTACCAAAACGCGCACAATGCTGTACTTCATGAGACCTAAAGTTGAAGGAAAATTAAATCTCTTGCAAATCCGGGGTATTAGTACTCCCGTACAATTTTAAAACCGGGAAAGACCAATTGTGTCTGTGACCAAACCTGACGGCTCTGAAACGATTTGTAGTGAATACAAAAGGACTGGATATCGATCCTCCATGCTAGTCAGTTACCGGTTACTACGTTTAGATGATTTATACACAACAATGACATGCGGTGCAAAGTTGACCAAACATGATCCCAGACATGCATACTCGCAGCAGAGCTTGAGTAGCCTTCGAGGAAGCTTATTACAACAATCCCACACATGTGACTATAACAACATACTCGTTGGCTTTTTAGCATTAATTCTGCTCTTGGAATCAAACCTATTGTTTGGGTATTTCTGGATGATATTCTTATCTACGGACGCTTTGATACAAAGCATCATCGAACGCTCGCTGTCGTGCTAGGGCGTCTGGAACGGAGCGCATTTACATTGAGAAAATCCAAATGTGAGTTCCTCTTCCTTTGTTATCTTGGATATCGGCTTGATAAGCACGGGTTACATGTCTTAAAATACAAGGCGAAACCTAATGTAGTAGGTCCGTTCCTAGGTATGCTGACACACTATGACCCGTTCTTGCCGAATGCATCTACTGTATAATCACCACTAAACAAGCTGTTGCACAAAAAGGTACCATGTCATTGGGGTTCTAGATAGAGAAATGCCTTCAGGAGGGCTAAGCAAGCTCCTACTTGGCCACCAACGTTAGTAGATTATGAGTCCAATAAACCACTACTTTGTCAACGTGACGCATTCCCTTGGGGAGTCGGGGTCACCGTACAAATGAGAGTTTATTAGGTCCTATAGCATTTGCATCGCGCATCCTACAAACAGCAGATGAGAATTAATCATAACTCTATAGGGAAGGCTTGGCTGTGATTTTCGGGGCAAAGAAGTTACACGAGGACATTTGAGGGAACTTATTCGAGCTGCACAAGGATCACAAATCCTTACTATTGTTATTGAGGGAAATCAAAGACATGCTCAGCAGATGGCATGACCCTTAATGCAAACATGGGCTGTAACCATGAGTGCTTGCAGTTACAAGGTTGTTTATGTTAGAGGCATCAGCGACCGCATAGCCGATGCATTTAACCGTTTGCCGATAACTGAAACTACACATGAACACGAGTTTCCGTTCGAACTGTTTAATTTGATGCAACATCTAGACACAATACCGAGCTGTGGTGTATCCATGAGTCAATTGGGGGACCAAGACCCAGTGCTGCCAATCGTAAAACGCTTTTCAACGGTGGGTTGGTCCTCTGAAGGAACAGTTGACTTACAGGCATCCATAATTCGAAAGAAAGCTGAATCCCACTTGTTAAGGCGCGTTCACAGATCCTCAACTAACTACATGATCACTCAGGTGAGGCAAGAGTGAAAGTTTTAGCAACAGGGTATTGATGGTGGCTCAGGATCGACTAAGACATAGAAAACATATTGGGGAATTGCAACGCAACAAACGAACCGGCTCAGCGCACCCATGACGGTGGTGATGGTGAAAGGGAATTCAAGCTGAATAGGTAGGACCGATTAACGGCACAATGTTCTTCCTACTTATTGATGTAGATTTCAAGTGAATTGATGTACATCTAGTTATCCAGAGGACATTGGAAGCACAAATTACCAAAAAGCGCTATTCACTGGCCATGTTGGGCAATCCTGAAACATAGTCCAAAGACATGGTTCAAGTTTTATCAGTAGCGGATATAATAAATTTGTCATCAACGAAATCCAGCACATTAAATCGGCTCCGTATCATCTAGCATCAAACGGGCTAGCAAAACGTGCCGTGCAAACTGTAAAACAAGGCTTACAAAAGCAACCAGCAGGAACCTTAGGAACAAAATTGAGTCGCTTTCTATTTGCCAACCGTTCTATGCCCACTGAGACTTCCGCTAAATCCCGGGCGGAAGAAATCTTACAAGACTTCACTTGTTGTTCTTCGACCCGTGTGCTGGAGTAGAGAAGTGACAGAAGAAACCGGTGTCTTTAGATAAGTCAAATAGGGAAGTAACCTTCAAGGAAAATAAACCAGGTTACACCCAGTTATTGCATGAACAATGATGGCGGCCAGGAACCGTAACCTTTTGGCATGGAATCAAAATGACTTGCAGGTTCCGAACGGGCTGATCGTCCGCTGAAATTCGGATCACACACAAGTCCGAGGAACTGACACAGCAGCTAAAAGTATGATTCTCATTCTAGTACAGAGTAAGTAGTGGTTGGCAAGGGATCTGCGAGTGAAATCCCACTTCAGCGGTGGAGCCGATTTCAAAAACCGATCGGGTGTTTCCAATCCGGACTGTGTGACGTGTTGACGCAGCAATCGTTGATTACGCTTGCCTTACACACCCACGCATATATATGTATACACACACACTTTTCATTTCTGGTCACTTGTATCACATCAGATTTTGACGATACTGTCCGTCGGATGCAAGCTGGCATACGTACTACTAGGATCGAGACGTGACAATCGTGCGAGTAAAGAGCTTTCATAAAATTTACGTATTTCTTTGACACAAAGTACTTAATCAGGACACATCGATCCGCCGAATCGGAAACACCCTTAATCTCGAAAAATACGAGTAGGGTGGTCCATTTAGGCGCTTGGCGGTGTTCCAACAGCTGATGTAAGGTGAAGGTGCGGCCAATACAGCCTTAATTTCTAAGAAACCTGGGTTACTATTCACGTATACGGTTTTCAAGTATGTTCACCGATCTATGAAGAACGACAGAGAAGAATGACACGTCAATGACTGAAGTATTCCGGATGTTAAACACGTTTGAAAAGAGGGTCTGTAAAAAAGCGACCACATCTGGTTGTGACAGTTTCCCGTTACCGGTTTCCCTAAAAAATCGTACAAATCATCCAATAAAACTGGTTACCAAATTCGAAGAGGTTGCCGGCAATACATTTGGTCCTGTTTCCTCACATATTTTCAGCACTCCGATTTCACGTCCAATCTTTGCGCAGGAAGGTGGAGCCAAAGGAAAGGGCGTGTGTGCGGGGTTGATGACAAACAGACAAGGAGGCCGGCAATTCTGATCGAAAAACTGCTTTTCAAAGTGTTTAGCTTAACATAACGTTCTGACAAATAATAAATGGCGTTCGTAGCGGGGAGGTA